CAAAAGGCCCTGATTCTAATTTTATCCTTTTGGTACATTATAACAAATTGTAGTAAATAGTATATTCCTGTTTTGTATGCATCAAAACATATATAGACAAACATAAGTAATCATTAAACAATTTAAACTATAGCTTTAAAACACAATTGTCAGTACACTAAATAAAACATGTCATGTTCAATTTGTTATATTAATGAACAGCACAACATTTGAAAATCTGCAAGCAGAAAATCATCTTATACCTGTGATCCTTGTAACAATATACAAGTATCTATGTCAGTTACTCTAATAATTCTTTTCTTATCTAGACGCAGGAGACACCTTGAGGACAAAAGTTTTAAAAAGGTCCTGATTCAACTTAGCAAGACTGTATCTTAAAAAAACAGACACCCCAAAAAGGGCTGACTATGGAGCTGGGGCTACAACTCAGTGTCAGAGTGCTTGTCGAGGATGTGTTAGGCAATGGATTCAAACCTTAGCACTGCATAAAAACTAACAAAATAAAATGAATTACAGTAGATGGGGTAGAGAGAGAAGATGGGAGGGGAGGGGAGGGGGGATAGGAAGGGGATAGGAAAGGCAGCAAAATACAACAGACACTAGTATGGCAGTATGTATAAACGTGGATGTGTAACCAATGTGATCCTGCAATCTGTACACGTGGTAAAAATGGGAGTTCATAACCCACTTGAATCAAATGTATGAAATATGATATGTCAAGATCATTGTAATATTTAGAACAACCAATTTTAAAAAACCTAACAAAATAAAGGCATTCTGTCCATCTACAACTACAAAAAAATTTAAAAGACAAAAGGCTGGGGCTGTAGCCCAGTGGTAGAGTCCCTCTGAGATCAATCTCCAGTACCAAAAACACAAACAAACAACAAAAACAAAAACAAAACTGCCCAAGTGAATAAATCTAACCAAGGAGGTAAAAGATGCCTACAATGAAAATTATAGAACCCTGAAGAAATTGAAGAAGACCTCAGAAGATGGAAAGACCTCCTGGGAGGTTCTTAGATAGGCAGAATTAATATTGTCAAAATGCCCATCTTCCAAAAGCAATATACAGATTCAATGCAATCCCCATCAAGATATCATTATTCACAGAACTAGAAAAAAAAAGTCTTCAAATTTATTTGGAAGAATAGAAGATCCAGAAGAGCCAAAACAATCCTGAGCAAGAAGCATGATGCTAGAGGCTTCATAATACCAGACTTCAAATTATACCACAGAGTCGTAGTAACAGACAGACACATAGACCAATAGTGCAGAACAGAAGACACAGAGACAAACCCACCTCTACGTCATCTGATCCTGAACAAAGGTGCCAAAACCTTATGTTGGAGAAAAGACAGACATTTTAACAAATGATGCTGGCAAAACTGGATGAAACTAGGTTTCTATCTCTCACCTTGCAGAAAAATCAAATACCTAGAAATCAGACCAGAAACTTTGCAACTACTAGAGGAAAGCATAGTCAACACTCCAGTATATTGGTACAGGCACCATCTTCCTTAACAAGATACCTAAAGCTCAAGGAAAAAAAGCAAGAATCAGTAAGCAGGTTGGCATCAAATCACAAAAATTCTATGCAGCAAAGGAAATAATGAAGACCATGAAGAAAGAATCCACAGAATGGGGGGAAATATCTGCCAATTACTCCTGACAGGAGATTAATATCCAGAATATATGAAAAATTCAAAAAACTTAAAACCAAAATCATCATCATCATCATCATCATCATCCCATCAATATATGAGCAAAAGAACTAACAGACACTTCTCAAATGAAGAAATACAAATGGCCAACAAACATATTAAAAAGGTCAATTTTCCTAGCAATCAGGGAGTGCAAATAAAAACTATATTGAGACTTCATCTTACTCCAGTCAGAATTACCAAGAATACAAATAATAAGTAATGCTGGTGAGGATGTGGGGGAAAGGTGGATTTGCACATGGTTGGTAGTACTGCTAATTAGTACAACCACTTGGGAAAGCAGTATGGGGATTCTTCAAAAAAATAGGAATGGAACCACCATATGACCCAGAAATTCCACTCTTCAATATTTACCCCAAAGGACTAAAGTCAGCATATTATAGTGACATGGCCACATCAATGTTTATAACAGTGCAACTCAGAATAATCAAGCTATGGAACAGCTCTGACCTTATTTCTTGTCTTCTACTGATTTTGACATTATTTTGTTCCTTTTCAGTGGCCTCAAATTGTAGAATTAGATT